TTTTATACAGAAGTCATCAACAGAATCTTACAAGAATTTCCAATAAAACTCTCTCTAATACAACAATCTTCAGTATACCAGTATTTGGTACAGCAATCATCAACAAGATCTTACAACAGTTTCCAGTAGAACTCTATCTCATACAACAATCTTTAGTATAGCAGTATTTTATACAGAATTCGTCAACAAGATCTTACAATAGTTTTCAGTTCAACTCTGTCTAATACAACAATCTTTAGTATACCAGTATTTTATACAACAACAATCAACAAGATCTTGCAACAGTTTCCAGTAAAAATCTATCTAATAGAACAATCTTTAGTTAGCCAGTATTTTATACAAAAATCATCAACAAGATCTTGCGATAGTTTCCAGTAGAACTCTGTCTAATACAACAATATTTAGTATACTAGTATTTTATACAACAATCATCAACAAGATCTTACAACAGTTTCCAGTTTAACTCTGTCTAATACAACTATCTTTGTTATACCAGTATTTTATACAGAAGTCATGAACAAGATCTTACAACTGTTTCCAGTTGAACTCTGTCTAGAACATTTAAGTCAAGTCCTTCATCAGAAACGCCCTTCACTGATCAATCGGAAAAGTGTTTTTCTCCAAGACAATGCAACCCCACATGTGGCATGTTTGACGCAACACAAGATTATGGAGTTGTGTTGGAAAGTTCTCCCTCACCCACCATATTCTCCAGATATGTAACCATCAGATTTCTTATTTCTGAGTATTTGCCCAAGCCGTTTTAGGCTCCCAATCCACCCCTGAACAGTTCTGTACAACAATAGTATATTAGCTATTTCAAGCATTGGATATCATATAGGTACATGTGTGCAACACTGAAAAAATATATTAGCATGTTCCATTCTTCTTGGGTGCTTTTTCCATAAATAACTTACATACAGGTTCAATGTTGATAGCAGTGTCGTAATGATTGTGTATTAAGGCTAGGGCCCTTTCTTTGGTTTGTGTACACCTCAGGTAATTATACAACTGGCGGAAAGCAGATGCCAAACATTGGCAAATAATTTTAATAACATAAAAATACCTGGTACATAGAAGCATGCTTTGACGAAAATGAGACAATTATATAAAGCTCTGAATACAACTGTATAGCCAACAGTGTAACGAACATTTGTATATACATTTAACTTGTTTTAATATATTATTTTAAAACAAGTGGATTGTGTTACTTTTTGTTTATTATTGAAATTTATCACCAACAAGTCACAGATATCTACTGTAAAAAATCAGGCCTAAAAAACCTGACGATAACAATACGGCTTCGGGATTCCAATTACAAAGTGTCAACAGAAGTCATTGCATGTGACTATTTCAAGCCAAAAAATGCTGATGTTTCATCAGAAGAATGCAGACTGTGTAGAAAACGTTAAATAAGGAGCAGCGCAAGAACTACATAAGCATAATTTTTATATATCACAAAAATAGGGGTGCGGCTGAACCACCTCAGAACCCCCCCCCCCCCCCATATGTGCATGTACAAGGTAGATTTTATGTTATGTTAACTTGCTGAATGACGTTTACTACAGATCCTAAAAGTCGACGAATTTTACAATAAAGGGCATTTTGTTCATCAGTGTGTTGCCATCTTGTTTGTTTCACGTGGAAGTTATATTAGGAAAAAGACTGTAAAAGTAATGTTTTTCTAATATGTTTTCCACGGCGAGTATGACTCGATTTTATTAGATATGTTTCAGTTTCTTTCAGTAATTGTAGCAAGTATTATATAGTGAAGAAGTCGTTGTTATGATATTCGTATGGTACTGAAAGAAATCATAGCATATGATGAAGCTTTTGAAACTTTACTGTGTGACATTGTAACGGTCTAAAATAAACACACCACTAAAATCAGGGTTCAACAACAACGAAAAAAACAAACAAATTGTTCAACTATAACAACATTTAGCAATAAATTCAACACTTAGTTAATAAACACTTGCCTGGCCAGGACTTGAAACAAATTTTAAAGAACAATATATCATCAATATTATTTCAAATAATGGAATCAGGAAAAAGATATCAGATATAAAAAAGATACAGCAACACAATAATACCTTTCAATATTAATAAACAATATCGAGTGATAAAGAGCAATAATTCATTAACTGTATCGTTCATTATCTATCTCGTGACTCTCTCTCTCTTAGTGAAGCTTCTGGCAGGGTATTTATTTACAGAGTCGGTCACAAGAGTACAACCTCATGTGATCATAAATTTACATACTCTTCTGCTACATTAATAGTATCTGTGCGTCACCACGAGGGAAGCTGGTGTCAGTTTCATCATACACACATATATTTATTCAAAATACAAATGATTAGCTAGAAGGTGAGTTAGCATTTTAATGGAACTAAAAATTCATAGATAAACTAAATCATAGAAGGAAATAATAAATAAACGATAAACACAACCACAACCAGTAGATTGATTGTCCTGGGTAGAAAATGCTCAATGTAGATACTTCAGTTACCTATAATATGTATTGCCCCTTTTTATAGCACCGTCTTCACAGCTACAGGTAAGTGAACTCCAAACATGTTGGCTTTGCTGTTTTGAAATATTACTGGAAAACTTGAAGGTGGCAAAGTGTACTATGCATTGACTTTGAAAAACATGTAGTAAGCTCATCTCTCCAATGCTGACCTGGATGCAAAGAGGGTGGCATAATATCACATATCCAGTATGACAAAATGACTTGAAAATATTTTGGTTCAGATATACTATTTCTGCCTCAAGCGAGACAAGTGCTGATTTGATATGTTCTTCTCAACTTACAGCTACCAAGCTCCTGAAAGCTTGCTGTTTCTAAAAATGGAAGTAGAAGATCACTACATCCACATTGAAGATTCAGGATCAGGAGATGATGATAATGTTGACCCTAATCAGACGAAAATGAAAGCAGAACGTTCTTCAGAGTTGTACAGAAGATTATGTTTGATTTGAATGACCTTCAAAATAGTATGAAAGAAGGCTTAATCTTGGGACATCGCATACATCAAGCTCTGTCAAATGTGCTCATCGGGTTGTATAATATAATGGCTTTTTTTTTTGCTGTTTGACACTGTAACTTTTAATAGGATAGATGAAGAAGGCAGAGTATTTTTTGACCAAGATGGAAACAAGACACATGTTCAAGTTAACACCAAAGAGAAAATGTTAAACCTAGCTCTAGGCACCATCCTCACAGCTACAGGAAAGTAAACTCCAAACATATTGGTTTTACTGTTTATATCTACCACAGAACAAGAGCAGATACCTTATCATTGTACTCAACAACCTTGGATTGTGCATCAGTATGTTGATCTTCAGAGACTGGTAACATCAGTTACATGTCAGATCACTAACCAAGCTGAAGATTACAACATATTCATTCCATCAAATATTTTTCCTGGAAATTTTGCACAGTTTGCCATTCACAAAGATATGGTAATGAAGTGTTCACAGAATTATGATGCAAATGGCAGAAGTGGACAAGCAGAGCAGAGGGGGGTGAAAATGAAGGGATTCAGATTGGAGGTGTGGTTTTCACACTTTTCTTTACTGCTTCAGTCTCCCTTACTGTAAAATCCAGGGTATGCTTAGATTATTTAGATGTTTCACATCACGAAGCAAATGCAGTAACAAAGAAGAGAAGAATAGAATAAAAAAAAAGTATGGTAAAGACATTTGTCAATGGAGAAATGATAAATCGTTTCATTTACACTAAGGATATGCTGAACATTATTTGATGGGCTGTTGGCAACAAAATCATGAAAAATCTACTATGTGTACGACAGTCATACTGAAAGTCGTTGTAACATTACCTAACAACAGGCGTGGTAAAAAATTTTGAGGAAGAGGGAAATGAAGCAAGATAAACCAAAACAGGTCAAGCAACAACTCAGCAATGAAATGCCTGTACTTAAATGAATCATTCTAGAAAATAAGGAATTGGGAACTAAAGGACTTGTTAATGCATGAACTGCTCAGTTATCCACCTACTATTGTTGAATCAAACAGCAATGGAAATTAAACTTTGTAGTGGGAAGACGTCAGTTCTACTGGACATCCTGAAAAAAAAACAAAAAAAACACTGGACTAGAGGAATGAGCAGTCACCAAGTCTAGTAATAACTTCAACAAAGGTGTCATTACAAATGTCATGGAATTAGTCCATGGATGGATTGGGCCGTTTGGTGTATCACCGGTCGCTAATAAATTTCTGAGAAAAAAAACAACATACATTATACGGTGGCTTATGTGTAGCAGTTATAAAATGGCAAAATTTACTTTTTTAGAACTTTTTTTTTGTAATTTCCCCTACTTAGATTTTTCTAGACATTTGATACGTTGTTCATGAAATATAGTTTTACATATATTTTTGCAAAAAAATTCTGTTGCAATTAGTTTGATGTTGAAATGTAGACTGACTGGACTATAAGTAAATGTCAAATACATGTCTGCTCCAGTGTTTGGTTAGAGCAATAGTATAGTAGCACTGACTTCGACTTTAGATTTCGTTTAAACTCATAATTATCATAATACTATTACAAAAATAATTTGTTTAGCATAATATATATTATATATAAATTGATAATCACTAATTAATGTGCTTTAGCCCTTAAAAGAGCTCGTTCTTTACAACGAAAAAAAAAATGATTGAGGCTTAGATTCGAGCCATAGAGGCGAACGCTGGGTGTACGAATACAGTACGGAACGCGAAATTTCATATATATTCGCTGGAACATATGTTGGTTCTCACTTACAGCGCCTGAGGGCTCAGACATTATTAATTTGATTGTACAGTTGATGACATGAAACATAGATGTATAAACACCTACAACTTATGTAGAGTGTAGTAGGATGGTCTGTAGCGCAGACTAGCACTGAAATTAGACAGGCCAATCAGATTATCAAGCTAATCAGCCTACCATTAGTACCGGCGAAGGCGGCACTGCGGCCCACTGAGATTTTGCCCAGTGTCACTGTTGAAGTAGTGAGAAGAAAATAAACTGGACATGGTAAGTTTCTTGCATTATATTGTTTATTATATGTGCAAACGTATATTCTAGTTGATTTATAATGCTAAAACGTCCGTAAATTATGCAAACAGACGATGAAACAGATTGTGTCATGCGTTTTCTCGGCGGCAGATAGGCCTTATGAGCTTTGCCCTAAATAAAAAAAATATAATGCGTTTTTGCGGATGGCAAACATGTAAAAATAATGCGTATTTATATGTATAAAGTGATGGAAAGTTATTGTTTTTGATAAACAACGATACATTTGTAATATAAGCTTCAATATAATGCATTACCAAAGAAATTAAAAAAAGAAAATCAGTGGCGTGACTTGGTCGATTTTCACAATACGGAAGCTCATTCGTGCCATAATTTGGAAAAAAAAATCAAAAATTACACACACAAAAATTAAAAATAGAACAACAGCATTTTGCTCACGTTGGTAGTATTCCTGTGTGTCCTTATGCTTAACAATATATTATATGAATTTTGTGTTACCACATATATATATAAACAGACGTATTTGTAGATGGAAATCCCGGATATAAAACGTGCTAATATATGTAGCGAGTCTAAAGAATAGGTCTACATCCACTTATTGTATGAGTGTTGTTGATAACAGTCAATAAGGTACGTAACTATAAAGCAAACACTTATTCAATGCTTGTTTGTAAAATAATTTAAGAAATTAACACTACTTTTTATAAAAACTACAACCTGGAGGTATTTCATAATGTTACGTCTCCGTTTGTTAATTGGTTTTTCCGTAACTTCGTTCCAACGAAACTTTAACGACACAAGTCTTTACTTAATAAAACTGGTTTATCTTTCCGAATATAACTCTGTGATACACTTAATCTCAATACT